ATATTCATCACTATGCACACAATAGATCAAATTTAAGCAGGCAAATTTTCTCCCATTTTATCAAATATAAATGTAATATTTATCATGTGAGAGAAGCTTTTCGCTCATTAGAGATGATTTCTAAGTGATTATGAAATGAAAAGTCGGCAATAGATATGTCCCCCTACTTTTAGAGAATTATATTGCTACAAAATATAACATTTATAGTGTAGCCATAATTTTTAAATCTTTGCAAACGATAAAGCAGAGTGAACATTATTGAATGTCTACCCTGCTTGTTACAGTTAGGGCAGTTCACACACTATCCACCATAATTTCTATTAGAAAAGTTACTAATCTTTTAGAAGAAAACACTGAAACTTAGAATAGTCAAGTTCACATAAAAGTGCCAGAACAAGCGATGAAAACACCCACTGGACTGAGAAGTCCAAAGTAGTTTCACTACACGTAACATTATTTCTTTAAATCTGTACATACATTTTTGTATAAGTTACCATTTCATATAATTAGCTGAATTTAACTATAGTACTTGCCATAATTTATCATTACATAGCAATATTTATATATTAATAACTTCGAGTATTTGAAAGCTAAAATGTTCATTAGCATTTACTTAACATTATCACTTGCCAGGATCTCTGCTCAGTATTAGAAATGCAAAAACGGAAAGACGTGTATTTCAGCTTTTTGTTGTGTGTGCGTGTGTGCGTGTGTGCGTGTGTGTGTGGTGTTTGAGACAATGTATTGCTCTTGTCGCCTAGGCTAGAGTGCAGTGGTGCGATCTCAGCTAACTGCAACCTCTGCCTTCTGGGTTCAAGTGATCTCTTGTTCTCAGCCTCCCAAGGTAGCTGGGATACAGGGAATGCAGTACCATGCCTGCTTTAATTTTTGTGTATTTTTAGTAGAGACGGGGTTTTGCCATGTTGGCCAGGCTGATCAGGAAAACATCATAAAGGATTCTCATTTTGGTAAGATCATTACTGAAAAAATGTTTAAGAAGATAATGCATGCTCACTGCAGCCTCAACCTCCTGGGCTCAAGCAATTCTCCCACCTCAGCCACCTGGGTTGCTGGGACTACAGGAGTGCACTACCACGCCCAGCTAATTTTAATTTTTTTTTAGAGATGGAGTCTCACTATGTTGCCCAGGCTGGTCTTGAACACCTGGGCTCAAGCAATCCTCTTGCCTCAACCTTCCAAAGTGCTATCAGAGGGGTAAGCCACTGCGCCCAGCTAGCTTTTCTCTTTTTAACATTTACTAAATTGCTCTGTGGGGGCCTCTAGACTACATCCATTTTCAGTCTTCAGGTAATCACTGTGCAGTGGCAAGGAGTAAGAGCTCCAAGTCTAGATGGTCCTGGTTCAAGTCCTGGCTCTGCACCTGGCAGCCAGGATTAACATATGTAACGGGTTTGGAATAGTGCCAGCACTCAGGGTTTGTCATCATTCTCAAATCCTTAAAGAACTTGATTTGTGCCACCCATGTGTTTTCACATGGAGTAATAATTCATGTTCCTAGTTCACAAACCTCCTACCTGCCTATGAGAGCATGACATAAAACCATACTCCGGCTTCCAACTCCTGTACTTGAAATTTTCTGCTTCCTCTCCTAAGTCCCAACCTAAACAACCATACTGAGCATTCCTCATTTGTAAAGATGATTTTAAGTTTCAATTCAATGACAAATAATAGCATGTAAAGTTCATTCTCTTACCAGAACCACAGCCACATAGGATTTGGGTTCTAGTCTTTGCTTTGGCAGTAACTTGCCACCTGGGCCCACTGCAGGCCGTGGACAACGGCTTAACTCTGGCTTTAGTCTGTCACCAATGAAGCCTGGAACCTTTATGTGGCCCAGAAGAGAAAGAGTTCAGCCAAGCCCACTCCCACAGGAGCCTGACAGTCCTCACCACAGTCTCCTTCAGCTGCTCCTCCAACTTAACCTTCTCTTCCAGGAGGCTCTTCTCTGTAGCAGGAGGATCTGCCTTCTGTTCACTCTGACCCATGTCCTCTTCCAGGTTCTGGCCACTGTTCTTTTGTTTCGTGGCTGTGCACAACAACCGGGGAGATGGCCTGCAGGGAGTCCACACACGAGAAACGAAGACTTTGTTTCTGTGTTTATTGAAGTCAGATGTCTGATTTTAGAAACTTAAAATAGCTTCAAACTCTTTACTATTACTTGGGGAGAAAACATCTCTTAGATCTAATAAAGGCACACTGTACTTGACATATAGAAGCTATACTAGTAAATAGTAAATATAAAAGCTATAAGTCATATACAGTGTGCCTTTATTAGATCTAAGATAAACACACATATATATATATTTTAGAGACAGGGTTGCTGTCTCTCTCTCTCTCTCTCTCTCTCTATATATATATATTTTTTTGGAGACAGAGAGTCTTGCTCTGTCATCCAGACTGCAACCTCTGTCTCTTGGGTTCAAGGGATACTCCCACCTCAACCGCCTGAGTAGCTGGGACTACAGTCGCTCGTCACCACACCCGGCTAATTTTTTGTATTTTTAGTAGAGATGGGGTTTCACTATGTTGGCCAGGCTGGTCTTGTACTCCTGACCTTAAGTGATCTGCCCGCCTTGTCCTCCCAAAGTGCTAGGATTACAGGCGGATTACAGGCGTGAGCCCCTGCGCCTGGCCTCTCTCATGTATTTTTAGAGACAGGGTCTCGCTGTCACCCAAGCTAGAGTACGGTGGTACAATCATAACTCACTGTAACCCCGAACTCCTGGGCTCAAGTGATCCTCCCCCCTCAGTCTCCCAGAGTGCTGGGATTACAGGCATGAGCCACTGTGCCTGTCTTTTTTTATTTTTATAAGATCTTCTGTAGTACATGCCTAAACTTACATGTCAATGTGCCAAGTTACAGTAGTTGGTACACAATAGTACTAACCTCCTTCTCTTTCCATTCTAAGGTGACTGAGACAGTCGGCCCAGACCTAACAACCTACTTATGGAATAGCTACTACTAGAGTGAGGCCGGCCTATTGCTGATCCTGGTAACAAAGATAGACCCAGCAAAGATCTTGCAAAAAAGAAGGTATCTAAACACAAAGAACTGTCATTTGGGATTTAAAAGTGATTAAGACAGGCTCGGTGGCTCACGCCTGTAATCCCAGCACTTTGGGAGGCCAAAGCAGGTGGATGACCTGAGGTCAGGAGTTCGAGACCAGCCTGACCAACATGGAGAAACCCCGTCTCTACTAAAAATACAAAATTAGCCGGGCATAGTGGTGCATGCCTGTAATCCCAGCTACTTGGGAGGCTGATGCAGGAGAATCGCTTGAACCCGGGAGGCGGAGGTTGCGGTGAGCCGAGATCTCGTCACTGCACTCCAGTCTGGGCAACAAGAGGAAAATTCCGTCTAAGAGTTACACAAAAGGGATCAGAGGTGGAATGACAGGATAGATGCAGCTTCAGGAAGAATAAACTGCTTGGACAAAGGCATGAAGACAGGAAAGTATGGGGTATGTACGGTGAACTAGACCAAGACCAAGTGATAAGCCCAGGTCACAAAGCCATTAACGAATGATAAAATAAAGTCTTAAAACCTAGATTTCTTCACCAGGACCAGAGAACCTTTCTTTTTTTGAGACAGAGTCTCAGTTGCCCAGGCTGGAGTGCAGTGGTGCCATCTTGGCTCACTGCAAGCTCTGCCTCCCGGGTTCACGCCATTCTCCTGCCTCAGCCTCCTGAGTAGCTGGGACTACAGGCGCCCGCCACCATACCCGGCTAATTTTGTGTATGTATTTTTAGTAGAGATGGGGTTTCACCGTGTTAGCCAGGATGACCTCAATCTCCTCCCCTCGTGATCTGCCCGCCTCAACCCCACGTTCACAAGCCCGAGACCCCTCTCACCCCAGTACTGGGAGTAGCTGGGACTACAGGCATCCACCAACACGCCTGGCTAATTTTATTATTTTTTTTTTTAGTAGAGACAGGGTTTCACCATGTTAGCCAGGATGGTCTATGATCTCCTGACCTCGTGATCTGCCCACCTCAGCCTCCCAAAGTGCTGGGATTACAGGTGTGAGCCACCACACCCGGCCAGGACCTCTTTTTAAATTAGGCCAGTCCAATCTGAGAATAAGCTACATTCAATTTTCTTCCCAGATTAAAACTGCTTCAACGAATAGGAAGGCTGCCAGCACACAGAACTTACATTCAAGGTTGTTTATTGCAGCACTGCAGAGCGACAAGTTGGAAACAATATTTGCCAGTGAGGAAATGGTTGAATAAACTTGCTAACACAATCTGGAATATTATGCAGCTCCTAAAAATGGGTTAAACTGCCATTTATTGGATACACTTTGGGTGTTCTGTTAAGGAATGCAACTTACAGAAAAATACACAAAACAGGATCCTATTTTTGTAAAGACAAACTAGAAATCCTGTGTACTTATTATTATCTCAGATCTGTGGAAAGAAGTGAAGTGGAAGCGTCTTACAGTCTTGCCATGGGGGTGGAGAGCGATGACCATTTTACATTTTTACTCTTGTGAATTTAAAAAACTAAGAATTTAAATAAAAACTGAGTGTACTGTTGTGAAGCCCACCTCCCTCTCCAGCTGTTCTGCCTGGGGGTGTGACAGCCACCAGCCTTTCTGCAGGTCAGCTCTGCACTGACCCCTTTCCAAAGCACAGCCAACACAAAGTGTGGCCAGGAATGCAACAGGACCCACACCCAGGGCCATCTTGTTCTGCAGAGGGAAACTGAGTCTCAGAAAGCCCAGTAACTACTCTGAGAGCTATGACTACCAGTCAGCTCTCCTCCCTTTCCCTAGTTAAGCATCTTTCCACAAAACTTCCATTCTAGAGACAGAAATGATGATGACTCGGTGGTTGCTTTCCTGGCAATTAATTCCAATACAAAACCACCAATTACTTTACCAAATTCTTTTTACTCAAGTATTCCACGTGGGTCGCTGCTCTTGGCTCCTATGTTTTTAAGATATAATTTATTAAGCTCGCACTTACCCCTTAATCACCTCGACTGAAAGTGATCTTCACCTCACCTACCTGCTCTCTTTCAGGGAAAAACCGCTTCTCACTGCCCAACTTTTGGCCAATTTGGCCCTCAGTGGCTTCTCTAATCAATAACTTGGTTCTAGGCAGCTCCTCCAGCAAGTACTTGCCATACTAACTTCTGAGGCAGAAATTTTAAAAAGCAGAAGCAGCAGGTTTGAAAAAAAAAGGGCACTGACTCTCGTGGCCCTCAGGCCCGAAATGTGCGCTTGTCTCAACAAACTCTTCGTCCAGCAGCGGCACAGGCTCGACTGCTCTTTTGATCTCACACGCTGGAGAAGGTGCAGTGAAGGAACTCGAGGCCGAGTGGAAAAAGCCCGTGAACGGGCAACACGCACCTTGCGACACGAAGTTTCCCGATCACCGCTGTGGCCCCGGCCTCGAGCCGCCGCACGGAAATGAGTAACAGCTCCTGCCTAGGGCACACCCGGCCGGGCTCGGCCTCGCTGCCTGACCTTGGACAAGTCTCGGGCTTCTTTGGTCGCTTTTTCAACCGCACAAGTTGCGGCTGCCTCTGCGCCCGTGAGCGCCGAGGTCGTGAACGCGCGCGAGGCGTCGCCGCTGGCCCTGGACCACACGCGCACGTGGACCACCGTACCTTCCGAGCCAGACGCCCCCGTGCTGCGGTACTCTCCTGACACGGCGCCCGCCCACTCCACCCTTCCCGCCCAGGCGGCCATGCTCGGCCTCTCCAGAACCCCGAACGGAGAGCCTGGCCGCAGAGCAGGCCCCAGCGGGGCGATCCGCGTCCCGCAGCGGGGAACCGCGAGCCTGGGGATGCCCAGCTCCGGGGCCGGGGAGGAGGCCCCGGGGCCAGGAAAGGTCCCCATCGGAGCGGGAGGTCGCGCTCCCACCTCAGCTTAGGGAGGCCAAGTGCCCCTTACCTGAGAGACAACGCCAAAGCCGGAAGACTGCGCCGCGCCAGCCTCACGCACTGAGCCGCCATGACTGCCACTGCCTGCCGCCGCCGTCGCCGCGCACGCACCAAGCGTGCGTGCAGGCAGCTATACCCACTCTTCCGCCCTACTACTTCGCCTCAGCCAATCCGTAACCGCTTTTCCTGTTATGGACAGGCAATAGTCACCAATAATTGTGGGTCACGGAAGAGCATTTCCACCCCCCCGGTGGGCGGGGCCTGAGGCTTACCGGCGGCCGCGAAGAGGTGAAAGGTGAAGTGAGCATTGGGAGGAGCCTCCAGTAGGCGTGGCGATGCCGGGAGGAGCCAATGAGGAGGCAGCGTGAGGGGGTGGGCCCAGAGCCCGGGTTGGGGCGTGCGCGTTGCAAGCCGGCAGGGACTTCGGAGCCGGGGTTTGGGTAGCAGCCCAGTGCCAGTTTCCCGTTTCCCGGCCTGCACCCACCAGTGCGCTGACACTCCGGGCCTCCCTTTGCTCTGGGAACGAGCGTGGGGAGCACTGTTCACCCTCACACCCTGGCTCTAGATCGGCGCGGAGCACTCCATGTTTGCTAAATGAAACTGAAGCCTCGGCGCGAGCGCCACCCAAACGGCGGCGCAGGTGCTTGAGAAATAACCGCGGAGGCAACCGCTTGGGAAGGCGCCCCCACCCCGACGCTGCTTCTCCGGGCGCCCGAGGCGGAGAGGAGAAGGCGCTGGGGTCTCCGTCTCAACCAGTGAGTTCTGGTGAAACGGGAAACAAAACCCAGGAAGCAAATGGGACAAAATGTTGGCGGTTTTGATGCTGGATGATGGGCATATGGGCGTGTGTTTTGTACCTTTCTGTTATCTTCAGTTTTCTCAAAACACGAAAAACAGACTAAGAACAGCGTATAGAAAACATTGGGGCACAACTAAAGCTCATAAATGCACACGTCTTCATAGCCTGACCGAGGTCCGTGCTGCTCTAGCGCATACCTCCAAGAGCAGAGGTGCTGGAAGAGCAGGGGCGGCGTGTTCTCATGGTCCCGGTGCCGGCCCCCAAGCGGGATTCCCGTGGGAGATAGGGCCTGGCTCCCGCTTCAGCACAGCGTGGCCTGGAGTGCAGTTCTGACTGCCAAGATCTGAGGACTGGAGCCCGTGCCCTCCCCAGGATCCCAGACTTAGAGCCCATGCCCTCCCCAGGATCCCAGGGCGCGAGTTGGTGGCTTCTCAAGTGGTGTGTTGCCTGCTTGTTACATTAGTGAAAGTAGGACCATTTGAGTAAAGGACCAAACTTTTATTCTTTTGCTTTTCTCCCATTGAAACCATTCAACCCATGCTGATTAACACCTACTGTTTGCCAGGTAATATGCCCCTTGCAGAAAGACGCAAAAAACTAAACCCCAAATGTGGGATGTTGTACAGGACAAATGACCGTGTCAATTAATACCAGTAATTAAGATAATAGTATAATTATGATGATAATATAATTAATTGGAGCCTGGAGGAAAAAAAAGAAAGTGGAACTGAACTATTAGAGAATAAACGAGCTTAAAAGATGCCATTGAATTGAATGCGTGGAACTTATTTGGATCATGACACAACAAACCAGCTTAAACGAGGCATTTGAGAGATAGGTGGGGGAAATTGGAATATAAACCGGGTATTAGATGAAAACTGGGAGTTATCGATACTTTTGGTAGGGAGCAGTAACGGCTGGTGGGTAAAATGTCCTAACCTTTAGAGATGCAAACGGAAGTATTTACAGTAAATTGCCCCTATGTCTGGTATTCACTTTGTAAATTCTCCGTGAAAAAAAATTCAAGGACAGGTGAAACACAAGTGACAACTGTTAGTAATGGTTGAAGCTGGGTGATGAATGCCACAGGAGTATAACGATTTTCTTTTGCATGTGTTTGTAGTTTTCTGCGATACAATTTATTTTATTTTATATACATATTTTTTGAGACAGAGTCTCATTGTGTTGCCCAGGCTGGAGTGCAGTGGCGCGATCTCGGCTCACTGCAAACTCTGCCTCCCGGTTCAAGTGATTCTCATGCCTCAGCCTCCCTAATAGCTGGCACTACAGGTGTATGCTACCACGCTTGGCTAATTTTTTGTCTTTTTGGTAGAGATGGGGTTTCACCATGTTGCCTAGGCTAATCTCGAACTCCTGAGTTCAAGCAGTCTGGTGTCGTCAGCCTCCCAAAGTGCTAGGATTACAGGCATGAGCCACCACGGCCAGCCTTTCTGCAATAAAATTTAAAACAGTGTCTCGGCCGGGCCTGGTGGCTCACTCCTGTCATCCTGGCACTTTGGGAGGCCGAGGCAGGTGGATCATCAGAGGTCAGGAATTCGAGACCAGCCTGGCCAACATGGTGAAACCCCGTCTCTACTAAAAAACAAAACAAAACAAAACAAAAAAAAAAATAGCTGGGCATGGTGGCAGGCACCTGTAATCCCAGCTGCTGGGGAGGCTGAGGCAGGAGAATCGCTTGAACCCGGGAGGCGGAGGTTGCAGTCAGCTGAGATCTCACCACTGCACTCTAGCCTGGATGACAGCAAGACTCTATCTCAAAAAACAAACAAACAAAACCAAAACAGTATCTCATGTTTCTTATTGGCTGTGACCAAGTAACTTCATTGCTTTCAACCTTGATCTGCTCACCTGTAAAACTGAGACCTTATAATTTGTTGTGAGATTTAAAAGAGAAACATGTTCATTTCCTTCCTCTTTGGGGCTCAGAAGGAATCCGATGGGCGTCTTGCAGCTCCGAGCCTGATGAAGAATTGTAGCTGCTGTGCCTCAAGACAGATAAGCACAGGTCGTCCCAGTAGGGATGCCACCTTGGGGACTGTGAACCTCCGCTGAGGCCAGGCCATGCCCTGTGTCTGTATCCCGAACTGCGGGATTTCTCTGATCCGCCAGGGAAAGGCCTGCCACCTCGTGGCCGCTTCAGGAACTGCTCCAAAGGCAGTCTGCTCTTGGGAACCTACCTGCTTAGGTAGCTCGCTGAGGTCTGGAACCGCAGCACACTGCAAGTTATCTTCACGTGGAGGTGAAGCTGCCTGTATGGAAGACTCTTGGATCAGTCGTCTGAGCACATGTCCAGCAATGGGCATGAGTGGCCTAGCCAGGGACTTGGGGTGCCAGAAGAGCCGACTGTACAGCACGTGGTGCCCCTAGCAAGGATTGGGTGGTGTTTAAAAAGAAAAAAGGTCGTGCAGATGGTCTGACAGCCTGTCGACCATGGGCGTGGTGCTCATAGCAGCTGGGCACTGCCGGGGTACCAGGCTGTGTGCTGGGTGCTTCAAAGATGTCCTCTTGTGGATCAGCCCATCTGTGGCGAGGAGGGGACCGGGCTCAGCCAGGTTAGATGTGACTTGCACAAGGTCATGTGGGTGAAAGGAAGGCAGAACTCTTGTGTATTTCTCCTGACTGATCCCAGATTTTGCGTCAGGACTGAAGACAGAACCCACATGTGTCCAGCACTGGGTGATTGCTGCCATGAGCTGCATTGCTGTGATCCCTCGGTGAGGGCATGGATTTTCATCCTTGTATTCAACTTTGAAAGAAGCAAATGTAGAAAGATACAAATATGATGGGCGTGGCAGACAGAATTTTAAAGGTGGGCCCACTGACTCGTACCCGTGGCTGTTCAGTTAAACGCTAGCCTAGATGCTGCTGTGCAGGGACTTTGACGAAGGAATGAAAGTCCCAAGCCATCTGACTTTGAGATCAGAGATGATCTGGTGGGCTTGACCTCCTGAGCTTAATGAAAGCAGGGAGCTTTTCCAGCTGTCAGCAGAGAGGAAGGTGTGAGAAAGACTGGAATTAACATTGCTGGTTTGAAGGAGGAAGGGGTTGTGTGAGAAGGTGTGTGGGTGACTTATAGGAGCAGGGAGTGGCCCCCAGCCATGGAATGAGGACCCCAGGCCTGCAGCCACCAGGAGCTGGACTTTCGGGGCCACCTGAATGCACCTGGAAGCGGATTCTCCCCCAGAGCCTCCAGGTAAGAGCTCATCCCTGCCACCACCTTGATTTAGACCTTGTAAGACCTGGAGTGGAGAACCCAGTTTAAATCACTTAAGCCATATGATAACCCTGTGGGGCAGGCATTACTTTTTTTCCCTCCCCATTTTATCTTTATTTTGGACTTTGGTACCCAGAATAGATTCATCATAAACCTTTGGTTCCCATTCTCACCTTCATGCCTGCCCTGTTCTTGGCCTGCTTCTGTTTGTTTCGTTGCTACAATCAACGTCCCTGGACCCATCACGCAGAAGAAGCCGAGGCTCCCAGGTTAAGAGACTTGCCTGGAAAAGCGTTAACTGACAGCTTGGCAGCAGAGCCACCGCTCCTTCCCCCTCGCGTGCTGGTTCCAAACCGAAAATGATGTTCTGGGTAAGAAAAATAGCAGCATAAGGGGCCACAGACGTTCGAGTTGAAATAATTAGAAATAACTTTCTGCAAAAAGAGCCAGACTTCACGAGAGGTAGTTTAATTGGGATAATGAGTTGCACGGGGAATGAGCAAATGCAAAGTTAATTAACAGTCATTTCCTTGAGACTAATCGAAGGAGAAAGATGGCTGGCTGGACCTTGTGGAACCCAGGTGTGACTCAGGTGCCTGCCGCTGGCATGGTCATTTCTTCCCTGTTGCAGCCAGGGCAGCCACAGAGGTGGGCGTGAGGGGGGCCTGGGCTGGCCTGAAGGACAGGGAAGGAAGGAGGAGGCAAACTTCATGGAGCTCGAGGAGATCTTAAAAGCCCATGGGCGTGAGAGCTAAGTGGAATCAAAAGCTGATTAAGTCGTTCCTTAGAAGCCTACTGTGATTTGAGCCCTCCTGTGTGTGGGTCGAATCAGTCATTAGGCAGGAAAAAAGAACTGTGAAAAGCACTGTGGGTGAGGATTGGTGGGAGGCAGCGTTTCTCATTATCGAAATAATAGATGCTTATAGAAAGGTTGGAAACTGAATGATAGGATCATTTAAGAACATTAGCCCTTCTCCCCTCTGGTTCCCTTCTCCCCCCTGGTTCCTCTCTCTTGTCCCTGTTTAGGAAGTGGGGGGTGGGGCACTCGCTGCCTTCGTTGCCCTTGCCCTTGGATTGATCGCAAACCCACAACTGGAGCCAACGGCATCATGAGGGGACAGCTCTGACCGTGTGGGCTGCCGGTGGGCAGAGATGAAGGGAGCCTCTCTGAATCCTGGTCTCTTCATTGGTACAGTGGGCCAGTACGCTCGTGTTATTGTCACACTTTTTCCAGATGCTTACCACTGTCACTGACTTCGGTCACCACCATTGCGGGTGTTCAGGGAGTGGGTGCTATGGCAAGCTTGCAGTGTGTGGCACTTTCTCAGGAGCTGTGCTTGAGGGCAGAGGGGCTCCCTGGGGCCGAGGCTGGGGGTGCTTATAGGCCTCCTGACCCTCTGCCCCTTCCCTTGCCACTGGAGGCCTGGGGGTGGCTGTCAGGAATCTTGGACGCTGATGCAGGGCCCCACAGGACGACATGGGAGCAGCAGGCACACCTGCTGCTACTCTAGTTCCTAAGCCCCTCTGGATAGGGAACCACATCAACAGTAGCTTCAGCCAGAGATGTTTATTTATCTAATGTGCAAAAGTCCAGGGGTCGGCAGTCCATGGCTCCCGTGATGGCTCTGTGGCCTCAGGTCATCAGGGACCCAGGCTCTTTCCAGCCTTCAGCTCTGTCCTCCTCAGGGTGTGGCCTGCACCTCACTGTGAGAGGGGAGCTCCAGGAACATCCCAGACAGGAGGGGGCAGAAGGGCAGGGATGCACTGCAGCTGTCTCCTTATATCCTATTGGCCAAAATGTGGTCACATGCCACACCTGGCTGCAAAGGATGCTGGGAAATGTAGTCTTTATTCCCAAGGGTCCACTTCCTGCTGACAATTCTGTTCCTGCAGATGACGGGAGAAAGAATGCTTGGGGACACTCGCATCAGCTCCTCCCTAAGCCTCTATGGCCCTTCTACCCTCACTTCCCTGGGCCCCTTCACTATTGGGATCTCATTGCCTTCCCTCAGCAGCCCATGAGACTGGGGTATCTGTTCACTTATCCGACATCCCCATAGTCTAGGGGGCCCGGTGGTTATTCTCCCCACCTCACTGTCAGTAAACTGAGGTGCAGAAAGGTGACCTGAGCCATTGTCGTCCACAGCCAGCAAGTGCTATAGCCAGGGTTCGAGCCCGAGTCTGTGCCAGCCCCGCCTGCAGCATCCGCAGTGCAGAGATGCGGCCACATGGGAGCCTCCATGGCTGCCATAACAGATGAGCACACCGAGGCTCAGAGCAATAAACATTCTATCCTCGCATGGTTCCGCAGGTCAGAGTCTGAAATCGGCCTCACTGGGCTAACGTTAAGGTGTTGGCAGGGCTGGCTTCTGGAGGCTTCAGGGGAGAATCTGTTCCCTTGCCTTTTGCAATTTCTAGGTGGTGTGGTGCCCATCTGCTGTGGCTCATAGCCCCTTCCTCCATCGCTCCAGTCTCTCTCTCCATCCTCACGTGGCCTTCTCCCTGCCCCTCCTGCCCCCTCTCAGTAGGACTTGCCCACAGGATTGGGACAGACTCCGCCTCTCAGGAGCCCTCATGCAGTTGCCTTTGCATGGTGCCTTTGCCAGATAGAGTGACATTCACAGGTGCCAGGGATTAGGATGTGGGCATAACTGATGCCCTGAATCAGCCTTGAGGCAGGAAGGGCCTGCTGACCAAGCCCTGAAGAGAAGTCCTGCCCCACGCTGCATTCTTGAGAAAGGAATATCCCACTAAAGATGCTTGGGTGTCAGGGAGGACGGTTTACACCATGCCCAGGGCCAGGTAAGGCCAGGATGGGTGTGGCCAGGGCCTTTCTTAGACCTGCCCTGCCCCACCTCTCTCCCTTGGCCCTGCAGGGGCAGCTCTTCTGGGCGGAGGCCCAAGTCCTTTCTGTCCCTGGAAGA